ACCATTCAGTCTCCGGCCATGGATACCAATGACAACAGCCTGTCAGCGTCTCCATCTATAGCTCCAGCCATTACATACCTGACGATGCCCACCCCCCGTGATCCCGGTACATTCTCCGCACAACCTGGACTCGACGTCGACTACTGGCTCCGTATGTACGAGCGTGTTAACCAAACACACCGATGGGACCCTACCATGATGCTCGCCAACGTAATAGTTTACTTGGACGGCACCCCACGGGTCTGGTTCGACGCCCATAAGGCCGAGCTCACCAGATGGGATACCTTCAAGAAGCGACTACGCGACATCTTTGGGGACCCGTCCGGTTGCCAAATGGAAGCGCGAAAAGAACTCGCCACTCGTGTTCAGTCGTCAACAGAGTCGTATGTCTCGTACATACAGGACGTGCTCGCGTTGTGCCGAAAAGTCGACGAGCAAATGACAGAGAGTGACAAGGTGGGCCACATACTTAAGGGAATCGCAGACAACGCCTTCAATTTGTTCGTCTACACTAACGTCACGACCGTAGATATGACTATCAAGGAATGCCGCCGCTTCAAAATGGCCAAAAGCCGCCGTGTTCTGCCTCAATTTACGCGGCTACCAAACACGGCTGTTACATCCACTTGCACCGATCTCGGTGCCGCACCACCCATGCAGGACACCGTGACACGAATAGTTCGACGGGAGCTTGAGGCGTCAAGTCCGGCACCATTTCCTCCACATCCGCTCGACCATGGCGCCACACAAACGCCTCTGCCGGTCTCCGTTATTCAAGCCATCGTGAGGCAGGAAATTGCAAAGCTTGGTTTTCCTGTGGCCTGCTCTGTCTCCCGACCCGTCGCCAGACAAATGACAACAAATTCACCACGCCATGACTTACACTTTATTCCGCGATCCCGTAATCCGGCGGAATGGAGAACTGCAGACGACAAGCCGATCTGCTTCCGCTGCCACAGAGCTGGCCATATCTCCCGCTACTGCCGCAGCACTTGGATGCCCTCAAATTGGAGCCAATTTTCCTCTAATCTACCATACGAGGACTCCCGTCGGTATTGGCCCAGTCATGTGTACCCTTCTTCCGACATCCCCAACAGCCACACCACTGCTCGTTCGCCGCCTACCTCAACGCCGCCGTTCCCCATCGCCCCAACCACGCCCCTATCCGTCGCCAGTGCACTATGGATCCTCTCGGACGGAAAACTAGAACATGCAGCTCCGGGAGGTACTGCTGCATCGCTTGCGAGTGATCCAAATCCTCCATTGACGCTCTCCACTGATACGAACTTGATTGAGGTGTATGTGGACGGTATTTCTTTGACGGCGTTAGTCGATACCGGAGCTCAAGTGTCCATAATGAGTGCTCATCTGTGTCGCCTGCTCAAAAAGTCCTCACGCCTGCAGCAACTAAAGCCCTCCGTGTCGCTGATGGTGGAACTGTGGCCATCACTGGAATGTGTACCGCTCGTGTTAATATTGCCGGCCGCCATGTTACCGTTTTATTTTCGGTGCTTGAAAATTGCCCCCACGACCTAATCTTCGGCATGAACTCCCTATCGACGCATTCTGCCCTCATCGATTGTGCCGCTGGTACTCTCTGCCTAGAACTTCCTCTTCTCCCGGATTCTCACCTTGAACTCCCGAACAGCTTGTGCACCGCTGACTTCTTCCGGATACTGCCTAAAACTGTCACATTCATCGAATTGGCAACACCCTCTCCCGTGCTCGACGGTGATTATATCGTGACGCCGATTACTGATGTTCTCCTGGCGCGTGACATTACTGCCCCACATTCTGTCGTAAGCATGGCCTCTAACCGAACATATTTACCTCTTATCAATTTCGGTTTCTTAAAACAAGTGCTACCCCAAGGAATTTCATTCGCCACACTAAGGCCCTTGATTGACGACCACGTCTCCTGTTTTACGGCAGACGTATGTCCCGAGCGCCCACGTCACTCGCAGGATGCCACGTGCCTCGATGCGACCTTACGCTCCATGATCGCCCCGGACCTCAAACCTGAGAAGTCAACCGCGCTATGCCCCCTTCTGGCTTCATACCGCGACATATTCGACATCAACCACGGTCCACTCGGCCAGACTTCACTCGTCAAGCACCGCATTAACACAGGTGATTCTCATCCCATTCATCGGCGACCGTACCGGGTGTCTGCCACCGAGCGTAAAATAATTCAACAAGAAGTCACCAACATGTTAGCCAAAGGAATTATTGAACCCTCTTCGAGCCCTTTGGCGTCCCCCGTTGTGCTCGTTAAAAAGAAAGATGGCACGTGGTGCTTCTGAATGGATTACCGTCATCTGAATAGAATCACGAAAAAGGGCGTTTACCCTTTACCCCGCATCGATGACGCTCTCGATTGTATCCACGGCGGCCGATACTTTTCTACAATAGACCTACGTTGCGGCTACTGGCAGATTACTGTCGCCGAAAAAGACCAAGAGAAGACTGCATTTGTAACTCCAGACGGCCTATATCATTCCAAGGTTATGCCATTTTGGGCTATGCAACGCCCCAACGACGTTCGAGCGCATGATGGACTCTCTGCTACAAGGGTTCAAATGGTCAACATGTCTTTGTTATCTTGACAATGTCGTTGTATATTCCCCAACATTTGAGACCCACCTTAAGCGTTTGTCAGCTATTCTCGACATATTCCGCACTGCAGGCCTCCAATTGAACTCGTCGAAGTGCCGCTTCGGACGCCGGAAAATTTTAGTGTTGGGCCACCTTGTCGACGCCTCTGGTGTGCAGCCGGACCCCGAGAAAATTCGTGCAGTCACCAGTTTTCCTGTACCCCAGTCAGCCAAAGACGTCTGGAGTTTTGTAGGACATTGCTCCTATTTTAAGTTTGTGAAAGATTTCGCAACCATCGCTCAACCCCTCACAAAGCTTCTAAAGACAGACGTCACATTTACGTGTGGTACCGACCAAGCTGCTGCTTTTTCTCACCTAATCACACTACTGACGACTCCACCCATAATGGCTCACTTTGACTCATTCGCTCCGACAGAAGTTCGAACCGATGCTAGTGGTAACGGAATCGGAGCTGTGTTAGCCCAGCGCCAACGGGGACACGACCGAGTTGTCGCCTACGCTAGCCGCCTCCTCACAGCTGCTGAGCGCAACTATTCTATTGTGTCACGAATGAAGCGTTGTGCGCGTAGAGACAACTCAAGCGCAGTTCTGTTTTTTTTTCAGAATTGCAACTTTCGAAGCATGGCCAAGTGTAATGACGAAGAGCGTCAACGGGCTCGAGCGCTGGCAAGGCGCGCAGGGCAGAGGAAGATGAAGATCAGAATAAGAAAAGCCAGTTCACTGAACAGGCGTTGTCTCTTACTTCTCGTCATTACATTGTTTGCATCCCAACCTCTGTTTGTACGCCCGAATGCTTCTGGCCGTGCCCGACAGGGCGCGGCCAAAAGAATTCGGGTGTACAAACAGAGCTTGGTATGCAAACAATTTAATGACAAGAATACACAACGCCTGTTCAGTGGACTGGCTTTTCTTATTCTGATCTTGATTGATTATTGATCTTCCGGTCATATCTAAGGTAGCTCTGGTGGACGAGGCTGGCTGTTGCACCCGGGATAGCATAACCCCGCCCTGCACATCTGCAGTGATGATGACACGACTTGAGGTCTTGCGAAGAACGAACAAGGCTTGAAATTTGTGTGGCATTGGATTGACGAATGCCTTTGGCATCGGATCCAGTGCCGTCGTGGCAACCGACGCATTGCTTCTAGCCGGTGTGCGTGAGAACCAAGCCTGATGGGACTGCGTCTTTTTTTCTCCGTTGTATACGTGGTAGCTTCATGTCTCTTTCGTAACTTTCTGTGGCGTTCCGTCAGTTTGTTGGATCGCAGACATGGCCTTGAAAACTGGTGCAGAAAATTTTGTCGACGTTGCTTTCTGCGAAGATGGCTTAGGCATTGGCTTTGTCTTTGCTCCTTTAATTGCTGTTGTCTCTGATGACCTTTAAGCCACAAGTGTACTCGTGAGGCGGTTTCAGTTGATCGTTGTTTTTGTTCGAGTAGCCACTGTAGTTCCTGGAGTTCGTGGAGTTGCCTTTGTTGAAATTGCTTGTTTTCTTCGGAAAGTTGGTCAGATGGGCATCTTTCAGAAACATGAGTCTGCTTTTCTTTGCATGGTGATGTGATCAGTAGATAGTCGGTAGTCGATACTGTACTGCTGGGATTGTTTCGCTTAGCAGTACAAAAGGGGGGAGAAAATGAAGATTTCAGTGTGCTCCTCTCATAGAACTCAATTCAGAAGCTTCGCCTTTATAACAACGCGTGAACATTGTCACTAATGCATCATAAGGTAAGCAGATGCCTGTTAAATTTCACGTAATATTATATGATTACAAATCTGCTCCTTGATAACGTCTTTAGCCTTCCTTGAAACTATTGTTCGTCCGCATTACGAACATTCTCTTCAATTCCGCGCTTACCCACAGCGCCTACCATAAGTGTTTGCCTGACAACCACATAAGTAACTTAAACACCTATTTTTTTTTTCAAAGTCCAACGTTCGCAATAGACTGGATATTGTTTGTATTGCTACCTATTGCTGCGTGACTACGCCCACGCAACATCAGGGCTTCTGCCAGGTTTCTCCAATCAACGCGGTTTCGTGCTCGGTGCGGCCGCGTTACCCCTGCCGACCTAACTTTTTGTGACTGTTATTTCTTGGAGTTCAGTCTGCCCCGCCTCGGTGGTCTAGTGGCTAAGGTACTCGGCTGCTAACCTGCGGGTCGCGGGTTCGAATCCCGGCTGCGCTGGCTGCATTTCTGATGGAGGCGGAAATGTTGTAGGCTCCTAGGGTATTCTATTGTCCACTTAACGTAAACATTGCATTGCAGGAACTTCTATTAACGCATGACGGCACAGATGTAGCCATGAATGGAGAGTATATGCATATAAAATGTTGTCGAAGAAACTTCTGTGCTATGCAAAAAGGAAATTTTGTAAATTACTTACGGTCCCGTTCATAAAGTCGTCTCCGGTATGATTCTCCTGTAAAGAAAAAAAAAGGAGGGGGGAAAAAATGAAGATTTCAGTGTGCTCCTCCCAAGGAACTCAATTCAGAAGCTTCGCCAATATAACAACGCGTGAACATTATCACTAATGCATCATAAGGTAAGCAGATGCCTGTTAAATTTCACGTATTATTATATGATTACAAATCTGCTTCTTGATAACGTCTTTAGCCTTCCTGGAAACTATTGTTCGTCCGCATTACGAATATTCTCTTCAATTCCGCGCTTACCCACAGCGCCTACCATAAGCGTTTGCCTCACAACCACATAAGTAACTAAAACACCTTTTTTTTCAAAGTCCATTGTTCTCATTAGACTGGATATTGTTTGCAATGCTACCTATTATAGCGTGACTACGCCCGCGCAACATCAGGGCTTCTGCAAGGTTTCTCCAATCAACCCGGTTTCGTGCTCAGTGCGGCCGCGTTACCCCTGCCGACCTAACTTTTTGTGACTGTCTTTTCTTAGAGTTCAGTCTGCCCCGCCTCGGTGGTTTAGTGGCTAAGGTACTCGGCTGCTAACCCGCGGGTCGCGGGTTCGAATGCCGGCTGCGGTGGCTGCATTTTCGATGGAGGCGGAAAAGTTGTAGGCCCGTGGGCTCAGATTTGGGTGCACGTTAAACAACCCCAGGTGGTCAAAATTTCCGGAACCCTCCACTACGGCATCTCTCATAATCATATGGTGGTTTTGGGACGTTAAACCCTACATATCAATCAATTGGAGTTCAGTCTGTTAGCATTGATGACTAGAGACTTACTTCTCTTCTCGATAGATGCCCATTTCCTAATCCAGATTTCAATGAACTGTAGATCTCATCAACACATGTTTCTTCCCTGATTTACTGTCACACATGGGTGACAACGACAATGTGGTCGTTTCGCTAGCCTCATATATACTAAGTTTGGTATTACGTGACGCGAACGTTCGATGAAGGTAAATGACACTTCCAAACATGATAATCATGATACGCGGGTCATGTAAAACCCGACTCCTATAGCGTGCTCATGGCCGTTTCGTTAGCTCAACGTCAGATCCATTCTTTTGAGACACGAGTGGTTTAGTTCGCCTGAACGACACGTCGGGGCGTATCGACTTTAAAGAATTCAAAAGTCCCGCAATGACGTATGCAGTGGCGTAGCACTGAATAAAATATTATCAAAAGAAACTATGCACACACCCTAAAACGTTCGCTTCACCTCAGTGTGCACATAAGAGCGTGGTGTGTCGGCGTTATTTCGACGTCGACGACTGGTAATGAATTGGCAGTTTTTCTAGACATGCCGTGCCAGGCAGCTCGTAGCATTCTGCATGAAATGTCTGGCTGTCGTACACACACCTTTGGTGTACCAAAAGAAGCGTGTTTGTTTATTTTTTTGTTTTTAGTTCCTGCGCTGCTGTATTGGTGTTGGTATTAAATAAGCATGCAGGTTTTAGGGTTTTGTGTGCACCGAGCGTCAAGCACTAAACTTCGGTGCGGACATGGAATTTCATTTGTATAATAACCAATTTTTTCTCTGTGTGCTATTAAGCGATTCTGGCTTGCTCTTTGCATTATGTCAAAGTAAATTTGAATAACTTTGAGAACGCTACAAATGAGAGTATGAAAAGGAAGTTAAAAATACGTATTTTTGTTTTCCTTCAGTTCTTGTTGAAATGTGGCAACCATCTCCTTCTTGGTGCCATCGAAGTGTCTTTGGCTTGAACTTACGCACGCAGTCAGGCTCGCTTCCACACCACAACATGATCGCGATGTCGCACGGACATTTTCACTCGCGATCCAGGCCGGTACAGATCGAGTTGGGTACTCAACGCCGGTTGTAGATTGAGGCTAGATACTCCTTTCTTAATAACATTCCTTTCCTTTTACGTGGCCACAAGTTCGGCCTGAATAAACAGCTTATTGTTCCATCTGCACTCTGCTCCCTTTATCCACTTCACGACTCCGTGACATCGGGTGGAGGAGCTTCCCGTCCATGTATGAACGCCAACCCCCTCCCCTCCAGTCGAGAGCCCAGCCCCAACCGTCAACCAAACATCCCCACCAACCTCCACCTGCGAGCAAGCTGCCGGCAGCGAGGGCTACATCCGGAGTACGTGGCTCTACCCGATAACACTCGCAAGCCGAAGGCCACCATCACTACTGCGTCCACTATGACAGCCCCTGTACCAACGTCCGCCATTGTCGTAATGCAGCAGCCAAAGGAGCCACCCATCATCCGCGGATCCTCAATTGAAGAACCGGATACCTAACTCGAGATGTACGACCCAGTAGCAGCCTTGAACCAGTGAGAAACGAAAGAAAAGCTGCGCCGCGTCTACTTCTACCTGGAAGACGCCACGAGGACCTGGTTCGAGAATCGGGAGTCTGCACAAAATATCCCAGGAGTGCCTGGGATCTTTTGCACGGTGCATTGCTGGAAACATTGACGAGCGTCGCCCGCAAAAAAAGGGGGCCGCTGCTTTGCTGGAGACCCGGGTACAGGTGCCAAACGAAAATGTCACCATCCTCACGGAAGAGATGACGAAACTGATTCGGCACGCCGATCATGCCATGGCTAAGGACAAGAAACTCCGCTTCCTCATGCGGGGTGTGAAGCAAGAGTTGTTTACGGGACTTGTTCGCCACCCGCCCAACACTGTTGACGAATTCCTCACTGAGACCACGCCAATAGAGAAGGCGCTTGAGATGTGTACAAGGCAGTATGACCATCGCTCTTCAACAGCCAACTACGCCGAAGCCCATGCACGGACGACCTGCGTGAGACGATCCGACAGATCGTGCGGTAGAAGCTACGGAGCCACTTGCCCTCGTCGCAGCCCCAAGTGGATTGTATTGCCGACACTGTCCGCGGAAAAGTTCGGAAATCGCTTGGAGTTTTGGAAGCTCCGCAGCTTCAGCTGCAAGCGATTAGTTACGCTCCTGCAACCCGACGCAACGCTCTCACTTCACACCCACGCCAAGAGCCCGCACCGTCGCAGTTCCGCCGCCAGCCACTGCCGCTGTCTACGCCATACCGTCCACCCGCCGTCCAGCGTAACGCTCCGAGGAAAACTGACGTGTGGCTACCCCCAACCACCGACCTCTCTGCTATCACTGCGGAGAAGCAGGCCACACCTACAGCCACTGCCAATTCCGTCAGATCCGTGGTTTCGCCGTAGATGCGCCGCGTCCACAGCAAGGGGAAAGACCCCGCGACATCACCGGCTACCTCGCAGCAGCGCAGTGGACACCCCAAGAAATTTCCTGTTCACCGTCACCAGCCGCTGTCGCCTCACTGCCGGCCGTACAGTGTCACAACCCGGGGCCGGTCTCCTGGCCCTTATACGGAAACTAAGGGCAACAACTGCGGGGGGTACAGATTCTGTGTGACAGCTACCGAAGATCTGACGACGACGACGCCGCGACGGTACTCCGAACACAACACGAACCAGGCAAAGCCCTGACGACGAAAACCCATGTACTGATGACGACCGAACGACGCAACATGGAAGCAGCGGGACAAGCCGACGCTGCCGCGACCCGACGCCACGACCCAACTGCAACGCCAGACAACGAAAAGCGACCTCTACGTTCTTATTGGCGGCCACAGTGTAACTGCTTTCGTCGACACCGGAGCCGATTATTCGGTCATTAGTGGAGTTTTCCCTACGAAGTTAAATAAAGTCAAGCACGCCTGCAATGGCCCTGAATTAAGAACAGTTGGAGGCCACCTAGTAACGCCGGAGGGAACCTACACTGCGAGAGTCTGCGTTAACAACCGGATTTACCTCACAAGCTTCGTAGTAATACACCGGTGCACGAGAAATACCTTTTGGTATATATAAACTTTTTAGGCCTTCATGGTGCAGTCATCAATCTGAGATCCAAGTCGATAACGCTATCAACAGAACAAGTCCTACCACCGCACACACCACCAGGGAAACAGCCCTTGAATGTAATGGAAAACGAGATCACCATTCCCCCTCGATCCAGCATACATTGCGTCGGCTCTCAGAAATCAGCATGCATACAAGGCGTCATTTAAAGCGGCCAGCAGCTGTTGATCAACCACGAGATTTCTGTCGCAACAGGAACAGCCGAGCTGAGAGGGGAAAAGCAATAGTGATGCTCATGAGCTTCAGCAACGAGTACAACTACATGAGCAAAGGCACGACAGTTGCCTAATTTCAAGAAATTGTTGAAGCCACCAACGTTATCGCTCTTACCAAGTCTACTGAACCTGCTTCAACGAATCGAGGTCTCCATGGGAATTTAGACGGCAATGCGACTCTTTCTACACATAAGCAAGAACGGCTGAGAAGGCTGCTCCAGCAATACGAGGACTGCTTTTCATCGTCGTCGAAAATTCTGCAGACACCAGTAGTAAAACATCGCATCCTAACAGAGGAGAGTACCAGACCACTCCGTCAGAGCCCGTACAGAGTTTACATCTTCTCACCTATTCAGGGTGTTTTAGCTAAAATCTCCAAGCAATGAAAGAGGAATGTTTACATCATCACTGCACGTCTCCAATCAGGGCAGTATGCTTCTGATCTATATAGAGTATGTCTGAGTTGTTTTTCCAGTCCGCCAAGCTACGCAATTCACAAAAATTGCTTAATGAACATTGTAATATTGACTCTAGACAAAAATATACAATCCAAAGTTTGTAGTACCTAAGAGAAATATTAAAAATTTTAATTATGTGGTAAGACAACTGCACTGCTTAATTTTTGCCAGCTTTGGTTTAAAGTTCGCCAAAGTGAAAAATCATTACATTAATGACGCCAAAGGCGCTGCGTTTTTAGTGTCCTGAAATGTAAGTTCAAGGAATTATCGAAGGCAGTTCATGAAGGAAGGTCATTTCAACAAGCTATCGGTGACTAATATGCAATACAACTGACAAAATAGAGCCAGGTAAGCTTTCGAAGTTAATCGGTAGGCGTAAGCTAGCCGACGTCAGGAGCTATAAGATAGGAGGAACTGAGCAGGCTTTA